GGTCATTTCCTCTGTTTTGTTCTTTAAATTTGTTTAGCTGTCATTTTTGTGGTCCATAACATTTATTTTATATACATTTTTATCCTTAAATTACTATTTATTATACATTTTTAGCCTTTAAATTTTTGTTGCATTCTTATTCAGTTATTAAAAGAAATTTTTTTAAAAAAATGTTGGCTAAATAGATTTAACTGAAAACAGACAAAAAGATAACAAAAAATTAGACCTGGCAAATAGGTTGGATTGGGTGGGTTCGAATTGGGTCATTTTGAATGTCGAGTTATTCGGATTTGGTTATTTCGAGTGTTGGGTTAAGAAGGTTGACCCATAACCCATCCACACAGTCTCGGATTGGGTTGAGTGGATCCAACTTTTAAAAAATTAAAATTAAAATTAAATTTTTTCTATATTTTTCTATATTTTTTTTAACAAAATCTAATACTAATTAATTATTTAATTAAAAACTTTATTACTAATTAACTATTTAGTTAGAAAACTTGATTAAACGTTAATTTCCATTTCATAATTCAATTTTTTTCCAATCTCAAGAAAAAAAAAAAAAAGGAAAAGATTAGTAATTATATGGGTGGAACTAAAATATATGTCAAATATATAATACCTATATAATATTTAGAATTCATAATTTCATAAAGATATTAACTTTCATTAAAAAAAAATACATGAAGGATTATAGTTTAAAAGACAAATCTAATACATATATATTAATATCTAGTGCTTATTCAATATTTATAAGAGTATTATACAAAAAATATAGTTTTATTCAATATTTAAGAGGGCATTATGCAAAAAATATAGTCCTATTTAATATTAAAGTTTAAAAAGTAAATCCAAAATATGTCTAACCAAATACAAGAAGAAATTGGATCCGAATTAATTTTTATTAATTTGAAACAAATTATTAATTAAGAACAAATTAGCAACTAAAAACGGACTTTGATGTTCTTAATATTTTTATCTTTGTACTTTTAATGGTTATAAGTGGGTGCGTACCTCAACCACTGGGTTTTGATTTTCAGTAGGTATTTTTGTCTTTTATTTTAAAAAAATGAATTTTTTTTACGATATCATATGATATAACTTATTATATCTCACTTAATCTAATTTTTGACGCAAGTGCCACCGAAAAGAAAGATTATAGAGCTTGAGATGAAGAAGGGGAGAGTGAGAATGGAGAAGAAGAAAAGCTGAGAGAAAGTGAAATTGATGAGAAGTTAGGATTTGAATAATTTATTCATTTCTACTTTTAGAATTAGAAATAAAAAATCTAACATTAATTTTTAAGAAATCTAATAAAATTAATAAAAAAAATTCGGGTCATTTTGAATCACCCAATCCACCCGTGACCCAACCCATTTGAGTTTAAATAATTTTAGTCCATGTTATTTTGAATTTTGGATTAATACATAGGATTAATGACCCTACCCATAACCGATAGGTTGAATTGGATTTTCAGATTGAGTCTAATTTTGCTAGGTATAAAAAAATATATTTTTTATAATAAAGAGATAGAAACAAATATAAAAAATAATTTAGGTACTAAAATTATTTAATATTCAAATTTGAACGACTAAATTTCGGGTTTAACATATTAGTGTTCAGTTGTCAATGCTCAATGCTGTTAGTGGATAAGCATGGTGTCGTGCAGCTCAAACCCCTGAAAGCTGAATCAGAAAAAGCCATTATCGAACCTGAAAATCGAGACTCAAGCATTTCTTCAACCAAAACTCCCCATTCATCATCTTTTCCAAACATTTCCCTAAAAATATCGAATATATATATACAGCCTCAAACATAACATCCAGAATATATACTTCTTTTTGGGGAAATTTTTTTTTTCTTCTTACCATCTGCCGGGTTACAGATCATATATATTTATATATAATCCATATATATTCTTCTTCTCTTGCATCCTATCTCCTCCAATTTCCTTTCTTTCTTTTTTTTTCCTTTTTTTTTTTATCTATATATATTGAAAATAAAGTTTGGGGTTTTGGGTTTAGAGGGGTTTAATTTGTTTGATGGGTGCAAACGTGTCTGGCGGTAGATCGGATTGTGACGGAGATGGTTCTTTGTTGAGGAGGCCTAGATTTGATGATATACCGGAGAGTTGTGTGGCATTGGTGTTGATGCGGTTAGACCCGACGGAGATTTGCAATTTGGCTGGGTTGAATCAGGCTTTCCACCGCGCTTCTCTAGCTGATTTCATATGGGAATCAAAATTGCCTTCCAATTACAGGTTCATTGCAGAAAGGGCTCTTGGAGATACAACTCTTTCGACGTTGAGCAAGAAGGAAATTTATTCCAGGTTGACCAAGCCCAACTCCATTGATGATGCCACCAAGGTATATATGTACAGGTTCTCTAATTAATTCTTTTGTTTTTTTTATAAGATAGATCAATAAACTAAATATGTTGGGAAAACGAGTGGGATCGAAAGAGAGTTATACAAATTCAAATCCTTATTAATGGATAAGGGGTGAGAGAGAATTATACAAATTTAAATACTTGTCAATGGATAAAAAAATCTTTTACGTTTAAAAATTTAACCAATGTCAAATAGAGCTGATTAAAGACATTTTTCTTAATTAAATCTTATTCTCTCTCAAAATTTTAATTGTTTCCTTTTACCATACATTCCTTAATATAATCTTAAGTTCTTGCATTTGGATATGTACAGGAGGTATGGTTAGATAAGAATTCAGGTGGGATTTGCTTGTCAATTTCTTCCAAGGTGTTAAAAATTACTGGCATTGATGACA